CATTCTCTCTCTCTCAAAATTAATAAATAAACATAAAAAAAAAGAAGATAAAAAGATGAGGGGCGCCTGGGTGGCTCAGTCGGTTGAGCGTCCAACTTCGGCTCAGGTCATGATCTCACAGTTCGTGGGTTCGAGCCCCGCATCAGGCTCTGTGTTGACAGCTTGCTCAGAACCTGGAGCCTGCTTCGGATTCTGTGTCTCCTTCTCTCTCTGCCCCTCCCCCGCTCACGCTTTGTCTCACTCTGTTTCTCAAAAATAAACAAATGTTAAAAAAAAAAAAAGATAAAAAGATGAGCTCCAGGGTGGGAGAAAATATTCACGAAACACGTATCTGACAAAGAACAAGTATCTAGAATACATAAGGCATACTGAAAACTCAATGGTTAAAAATAATCCAACTACAAAATGGGCAAAAGACACAGAGAGACATTTTGCCAAAGAGGACATACAAATGGCAAATAAAGCACATGGAAAGATATTCGACATCATTGGCCATTAGGGAAATTCATATTAGAGCTGCCATATCATGACATACCTATCAGAATGGCAAAAATAAACAATAGTGACCATAGCAAATTCTGGCGAGGATGCTGATCATTCACACACGGTTGGTGGCATCATTAAATGGTAATGGGCATCCTGGAAAACAGACAGTTTCTTTAAAACCAAACATGCAACTACCATATGAGCCAGCAATTACACATTAGGGGCAATTATCCCAGGTAAAGAATTCTACTCCCAGAGAAACAAAGGTTTATGTTCACCCAAAAATCTGTACACAAATGCTTATAGCAGCCTTATTTGAAAAAACTGGAAACAATCCAAATGTCTTTCAGTGGTGAGTGGGTAAGCCAACTGTAACATTCATATCAAGGAATGTTCTTTTTTAATGTTTTATTGCTTTCTGAAAGAGAGAGAGAGCGACCACGCGGGCGTGCAAGTGGGGGGCGGTGCAAAGAGAGAGAGGGACAGAGGATCTCAAGCGGGCTCCGGGCTGAGAGCAGAGAGCCCGATGTGGGGCTCAAACTCACGAACCTGTGCAATCACGATCTGAGCCAAAGTCAGATGCTCAACCCACTGAGCCAACCGGGCGCCCCTTAAGGACTACTCTTTAGCAATACAAAGAAAGGAACTATTGGTACACAAAGAAACCTGGATGAATCTCCAGAGAATTATGTGGAGTGAAAAAATCAGTATCAAAAGGTAGCATATGGTATGACTCTATCTACATAATACCTTGAAATTACACAATCACGTAAATTGAGAACCAATACCAGATTGCTAGAGATTAAGCAGGGGCTGGAAGTGGAAGAGAATTGGGTGTGGCTATGAAAAGATCCTTGTGCAGATGGAAATGTTCTGTATCTTGACTATATCAATGTCAGTATCCTGGCTGTGATACTGTGCTAGCTTTGCAAAAGGTTACAATTAGGGGAAACTGACTAAAGGGTATATGGGATCTGTTTGCACTATTTATTTTTTCTTTTTCTTTTTTAATGTTTATTTATTATTGAGAGACAGAGATGGAGACAGAGCATGAGCATGGGAAGGGCAGAGAGAGAGGGAGACACAGAATCCGAAGCAGGCTCCAGGCTCTGAGTTGTCAGCACAGAGCCCGACGCAGGGCTCGAACTCACGCACCGCGAGATCATGACCTGAGCTGAAGTCAGACGCTTAACCGACTGACCCACCCCGGTGCCCCCATTTGCACTATTTTTTACAATTGCATGTGAATGTATAATTATCTCAAAATAAAAAGGTTAACTTAGATTACATAATATTGGGGACCACAAGGTATAACCAGTTCAGTGGGTCCAGAAGCCACAGTGTCCCCACCACTCCCTGCTGGGACGGCCCCTTGACACATCTGAGGCCCCATTTCTCAGTTTGCCTTTCTGTTGTCACACGCAAGAGGTAAAATATAGGGCAGATGAGATCATGTCTGTTTCCCTAGGGTTATCAAGGAAAGCTAACTATTTAAGCTGTTTAATGCATAATATACACATTTTCAAGATTTTTTGTCAAGGTTAACAGGTCCCTCCTCCCAAAAGCACCCCTTGGTTTTTGAGCAAAAGAAGGCAGACACAGGAGCATATACTCTAAGATTCAAGAATAGGCCAAATTAACCTATGGAGATTAGAAATCAGAACAGTGGTAGCCTCTGGTGAGGGAAGGAGATTGACTGGAAATGAGCAGAGAGAAAGTTCTAGAGCTATGCTGTCTATACGGTAACTGCTAGTCACCTGTGGCTGTGGAACACTTAAAATGTGGCTAGTCTGAATGAAGGTGTTCTGTAAGTGTTAAGTATACATCAGACTGAGGGGCACCTGAGTGGCTCAGGTCATGACCTCACAGTTCATGGGTTTGAGCCCCGCGTCGGGCTCTGTGCTGACAGCTCAGAGCCTGGAGCCTGCTTCAGAGTCTGTGTCCCCTCTCTCTCTCTCTCTGCCGCTCCCCTGCTCGTGCTCTGTCTCTCAAAAAATAAATAAACATTAAAAAAAATGTTTAATATACAACAGATTTGAAAGACTTTCTTTTTAAAAAAAGGTAAAACATTTTATGAGAAAGTTTTAAAAGGTTGGTTACCTGCTGAAATGACATTTTGGCTATACTAAGTTACAGAAAAGACACCATTAAAATTATTAAAATTATATTTCTCGTTATCTTGTTGATATGGCTACTAGAAAATTTAAAAGTCCACATGGGGCTCATATATCGATTGAAGAGCACTGTTTTACAGTGATAGGCAAGTCCTGTATCTTGGGGGGTTGAGTATATACACACATTTGTTAAAGTGCGTCAAACTGTACAAAGTTTGTGCATTGTAATTATACCACAAAGCTGCCTGATTTTTCCGCCACCCAATATAACCTTCCCGAAGGGTCTACAGCTTACAAAGGACACAGACTACAAAGAACTCCAGAGTGGCAGGGGCGCCAGGGTGGCTCAGTCGGCTGAACGTCCAACTTCGGCTCAGGTCACAATCTCACAGCTCGGGAGTTCGAGCCCCGCGTCGGGCTCTGTGCTGACAGCTCAGAGCCTGGAGCCTGCTTCGGATTCTGTGTCTCCCTCTCTCTGCCCCTTTCCTGCTCGTGCTCTGTCTCTCAAAAAATGAATAAACGTTAAAAAAAAAATTAAAAAAGAAAAAAAAAGAACTCCAGAGTGGTGTGAGCTACAATAAAGATGTGAGCAAGAGGGACACCTGGGTGGCTCAGTCGGTTGAGCATCCGACTTTGGCTCAGGTCATGATCTCGCGGCTCATGAGTTGGAGCCCCGCGTCGGGCTCTGTGCTGACAGCTCAGAGCCTGGAGCCTGTTGCAGATTCTGTGTCTCCCTCTCTCTGACCCTCCCCCGTTCATGCTCTGTGTCTCTCTGTCTCAAAAATAAATAAACGTTAAAAAAAAAAGATGTGAGCAAGATACCCTGCATTGGTGGAAGCTTCCATTTTTAGTATCTTGACTAAAACCACTGGCACGTGCGTGTTTACACGTATATAGAAACAGGCAGGAAGTTATTATTTGACTCTAGCAAACCCAAGAAGATGTTTCTGAAAGCCTGAAATTCTCGGCTTCATGCTGTAAGTCTGTGAAGCTTACGTACTGTATGTGAGGCATTCGTACTGTAAGTCTTCCCCTGGGTCACTTGTACAGAGCGGGGGCTGATTCAGAACACTTGCTCCTTGATGGGGTCGCCGAGGTACAGACGAGGCGAGCTTACGACCTTAGATATCTAACAAAACCCTCAATGTTTTCTGTTCACTTGGAGGACCAGAGAGAGTCACAGAGTGTCAGGAGGTTAGGAGGAATTCACTAGGGTTCCCACTTCACCCACAGCCCTCTTGAATTAGGGGACTGGGCTCAAAGCCGAGCCTCCTTAGGAATCACGGAATGTCTCCAGAAATGTAGAGTGCTTCTTGTCCAAGTGGCCTATTTTACAAACAAGGTGCAAGGAGATAGAGTGGCTTGTCCAACACGATACTGAGTTGGAAGTGACAGGGCTGGGACCTGCTCTCCTGTCATCGAACTCCCAAACTGAGAAACACACACACGCCAGCAAGGTCCACAAAACAGGATTTGTGAGCTGGAGACACAACTCGTTTATTTATGTAGGGAGAGGCACCTGGCAGAATTATTGGTACCCGTCATTTATTAGGACACTCCCCTAGCAAGGCCTACTCAAGACATGAAATTACATCCTGTACTGTACTTTGGTTTGCTCAACATATGACACCTCCCCTGCCCCTCCCCCTCACACACACACACACACACACACACACACACACACACACACAGAAAGTGTGAGCATGGGCCTGTTATATACCCCGAGCAGCCCAGCTTGGTTTAGGCAGTCGCCCTACCAGAACTGTCTCCCTCATAACTCTTCAGACAGTTACTAAACTGTGGAACTGTGGGCCTTGAGATCATTATAGGAATGCACTAACCCACTGTTACCAAGCACATTACTTGTATAAGAGCTCATCAGTGCAATGGGTTGAAGATGTCTTTAGCATCAGGCTGTGAGTTAAGAGTTTTCTCTTCTTTTTTTTTTAAGTTTTTAAATTTATTTTGAGAGAAAGAGAAAGAGAGGGAGGGGGCGGGGGCAGAGGGAGAGAGGGAGAGAGAGAATCCCAAGCAGGCTTCTCACACTCAGCACAGAGCTCAACTCGGGGCTCAAACCCATGGACCTCAAGATCGTGACCTGAGCCGAAATCAAGAGTTGGAGGCTCAGCCAACTGAGCCACCCAGGTGCCCCAAGAATTTTCTTCACGTGACCTTCTTTAACTCTCAGACAACATTATTTACACATGAGAAAGATCAAGTTCAACTTCATCCCAAAGCAACCAGCTAAAATGGTTCATTTGAACCCAGATATGCCTGGCTTCAAAGTTTCTGCCTATAGAAATGTGGGGGGTGTTAGGAGAGCTTCATACCCAGGATTCAAAAGAGTTCAAGCACAGGCAAGATTTCACGTGAGTATATAGGCTTCATGCTTCGAACTACAGCCCTATCGCCGGAGGGATCAATTTCAAACTTCAGCCTCGCCAGCAAGGCTTCCTCGGTCCCGTTCCCACCAATCAGATTGTTTCTTGCTTTGATCGGCATCTTCCAAGGAACAGCACCCTTTCTGCCTTGAATCAGGGGGGTCTATGGTCTTCCCCTGTAGATCCCTTTTAGGCAAAAAGAACTCAGTGAAAACAAGTTCATCTCTATACTCTCTCTGTACCTTCCACAGTAGATAGCACCTCCCTCTACTGCATGCCAGGCCCAAAAGGGTAACCAAAGCTGATGTGTACCACTCACTGGTTACAACGTCCAAGTTCGTAGTTTATTTTCTATTGTTACATTTAGAATGGAGGATCCCCAGTGGAATGTGTAGGGAAATCATTACTAGATCACTTGTTAATCATCTTTGGGGAACTATGGGAAGAGTCTAATTTTTTCAACCATTATGGTTTCCAACCAAAACACTTCCTGACTTAATACAACTGCCTCATATAGGGATGGCATTTTATAGTTGCTGTTACTGGTCCCACCTGATAACAGCCATCCCCCTAGAGGGTAGTCCATGAAGCTCACGTACCCCTCTGCCCTACTACCAGCATCAAGTCACTGGGGCCCCGACTCTGAACATCGATCCCAATTCTGAAAGGCGTAAGTCAATGTTCTTTCCGCTTTTCTCAGCTCCGAGTGCCCCCAGATGCAACCGCCCCACAAACAGCCCCAGGCCAGCTTTAGAGGTCTGTCTGGAGGAAACCTGCTCATCTCAGGTTCATCAAGGAACCTTCCCTCCGAGGCTCCCTGAAGCCCCAGACTAGCCCATCCATTTTTCTCGGGGGAAGGGGATGTGTGGACAAGGGGAGGGAGCTGGTGGTTCAGGAGATCTGGAGAGCAATGGACTGCTTCCTCTTTCCTTCTGGGGAAAAAGGCTCTGAACAACCCCGATTTTGATGGACAGGGAGCGTCTGGCGGATCCAAGGGCTGGACTTGTGGCTGGGCAGAGACTACCATCTTGGCAACTGGCAGAAGGAAGAACCAGGTGCAAGAAAGAGGTCACTGAGCCCCCCCACCCTGCCACTTTTAAGTCAGTTGGAATTCCTACCCAGACATCATTTGAAGGTCTCAGGGACCAGACCGGTAGCATTAACGACAAACTCACCAGGCTCAGAGGTTAGGTAATGCACTCAAGGTCACGCGGTGAGTAGGTGAAGGAGCCAGGACTGTAACCCAAGGCAGTCTGGCTTCAAAGTTCTTGCTCTTTCCTGACAGGCAAAGCTGGGGATCTGATAAGTAACAGGCCTTGGTGGGTGGTGGTTGGACAGCAGAAAAGCAGGTTTTATGTGTAACTAGGAAGAGCAGAGAATAGAACTCCAGGAGCTTTCCACATATCATTACACCGGAACACTGAGTAGTGATCGCCTGACTTAGCTTTTTCCCCACTAAACTGCACATTCCTGGGAGTCCGGGGTTTTTTTGGCTTCTGTATCCACAGCACCCACCAGGTGCTTGACATGACATGACGTATGTACTCAGCAATATCTATTGAATGCTTGAGACTCCTGAGGGTTTCTTTAGGGGAAAGTGGGAGTGAACTTAGGCCAAATCATCATAGTCACCAGAAAACGAGGCGGGGAAGGGATGGGAAGGAATTAGACCAAATGCTCAGGAAACCTTCTCTCTCTGGACAAAGGGATCCCCTCCAGGTGCAGGGTCAGAATTTCTCTGAGGCCTGGTGCCCCTACCCTGAGATGGTAGGCCTGGACCAGGTAAGGGTCCTGCTTTGTTTACACATAAAAACATCAAAGGTCGGCAATGTTGCCATGTGAGCATAAGTGGCCTGATTTAGCATCATGAAACATGTACACTTTGGGGGGTAACTTTCCATAGGGTCCTCACATCCTAAGAGGGCACCCAGGAGTCCAGAGGTGGGGCTTGGAGGCTAGGGGTGTCGATGACAGAATTTGCCTAGGGAGGCACTCACAATCCCATCTACGGAGCAGCCTTGAGCCACCGGGTTTTCCCGGAAAACTAGGCATAGCCATTTAAGAGCATGGCGTGCTTTCTAGTTGTCGGAACCAGCAAGTGCGAGAGGTTTTGATCTTGAAGTTTCAGCCCAAAGAGGAATTTGCCTCTCCTTCCAATCCCCTCCGCCCCCATCCGATTTTTGTGAAGCAAACAGTTCTCTCAGAGGAGAAGTCCCACTGTTCTCTTCCCTCTGCTTCCCCGAACTTAGTTCTTGGCCCTTCTGGGAGGCAGGGCAGGCTCGGTGGCGCCCAGGCCTCCTGCTTCTGGGTGCTGAAGACAACCACCACCAGTAACATCAGTTGGAGCCCAGCTCTGCTTAAGCAGCCAACGCGCCCTCAAACTTCGATCTTACGGGAAAATGGCACGAATTCCTACACGGCTCTGGAGGCAGTGGAGCCACTAGGAGTGGGAACCTGCCAGCCCCCATCCCACCTTTGCACGGAGGACATGAGCAGACAGGCCCAGGAGGCGGGAAGGTGCAAAACCGGTGTTTGTCAGCACCGCAGGAGGAGTGGGGACGCGGCTGAGCATAGCGGTCCCAAAGGCCCCCCGCCCAAGTTTATCCCTAAAGGGGGTCCAGCTCGGAGACAGCGTTCTGAAGACAGAACCCTGCCCCTGCCCCTGCCCCTCCTTCTCAGGCTAGATCGCCAAAGGCCCACACGCCTGGCCCTCTGTGCTCACGAACCGGAAACAACCTAGAGTCCTGGACCAGAACTCAGAGTCAGTGCAGGGTCGCTGGCAGCCACCAGCCGCAGCCCGGGTCTGCGCGGGCCAGGCCAGCATTTCCTGTTGCCTAGGCGCTGAGCGCGGGCTACCTGCTCCCCAGCGGGTGCCATCCAGAGGTGCGGCAGCCCAGCCGCGGGCCTGCCAGCCGGGGTGGGCTCGGCCCCCCAGAAAAGCCCTGCAGGAACCCCCAATCTCCCTCCCTCCCGGGGGCCCGTGCCGCCCCCTTCTCCCCCAGCCCCCCCTTCCCCCCCCTCCCCCCAGGGGCCGAGTACCTGAGGGGGCGGGCGCCCTGCAGTCTCGCTTCCTGCCATGCCCGGGCGAGGACGGCCCGGGTCCCCGGCACCCCCGGGCTCCCGGCGCACAGCCTCCCGAGGCGCAGCCCCCAGGGGTAGATGGCCATGGCTTTCTGCGCCCGCGTCCCGGCCCCAGGAAACTTTTAAAGTGAGCCGAGGCGGGGCGAGCGCGGAGCGGGCGGGGAGGCGGGGAGGGTCGCCTCTGCCTATGGGGCGCGGAGGACTCGGTCCCGCCGGGGCGGGGGGCGGGGCGAGGCGTGGAGGAAGCTGCGGCGCGCGGGGCCACCTTCCCCTCGGACCCGCGGCCCTCCCCGCCCACCTCGAAGACGTGCCCGGGTTTCCCTGCGGATCCCAAGGCCCCGGCCACAGCCCGAGGCCAGGCTCCCCTGCCGACCACCGGGGGCCTAAGTTTGGGGGCTCAAGAGCTTGGTGATTTTGTAGAGGGGGAGCCCGCGGGGCGCGAGTGTGGGCCGGCGGCGAGGCCCAGACGCGTCCGTGCCCCCACCCCGCCCCAGCCCGGTTTAGAGAGCGGGTCATAGGCTGCCAGCTCCCCTCCGGGGTGCGAGCCAGAGGCGCCTCCGAGAAGCGCCCCGAGGCGTGCCAGCTGGAGCAGAGGGCTCGCGGGGGTGGGTTGCTGGGGGGGAGGGTAGGGAAGTGGCCCGGACAAAGGGTGCCGTGGGCGATCCCCCTCTCGGTCGACTCCAGGTGGAAGCCAGAAGTCAGCTTCAGAACGGACACCAGTTGGTACCCCCTTCTCCCACGGGCAGCCTCCCACCCTGGGCCTCTGCCTCGACTCCCCCCCGCCCCGGGCTCGCAGTGCACCGTGTAAGGTGGCGTCAGGGATTGAACCCTGGGCTTCTCACCGCCATCTGCCAACCCCAGCTTGGGCCCAGGGCCCCATTCCGTGCCCTGTCCGAGGCATGAATGGAAAGCAGCAGTGGACAGAGGTTCAGCCCACCGCACCTGTTCCATCTCCGGTCCTGGCTGGGAAAGGCTGCACCGGGCACCTGAGTGGCACAAGTGCCAGGTCCACACTGTCTCGACCCTTTCTCCAGAGGAGGAGGACAGCAATGGGGGAAAGGCCCTGGCAGGGTGACCTCCCCGCTCCTGCCCCAGAGGAAGCAGTGAAAATCTGGGCCAGGCAGAAAGGTTAGTGAGGGGTGGGGCCTGGCCTGAGAAGACCTTTGCCCTTATCTGGGGACTTGGCCTCCGACTGAGGTCCTGAGGAGTCTATGCTGCATCCGTCCTCATGATGGGAGTAGCCTCAGATCCTCCCGAAACCCTGGCTCCTGGGGGACAGTCTCCACACTTCAGAGTGTGTGGGGATGGGGCAGGAAGACAGGCGAGCAGAGAAATTACGACCAGTTGAGCTGGCAAGGACACACCTTTCTAATGACGCTAACTCTCCGACTCCGACAGCCTGGCCCAGGGACGGAGTGCCCCGGGGCACAGCCCAAGTCCAGGGTATCAGCCCTGCCAGTAACTGGCTGTGTGGTCCTGGTAGTTACCTTGCTAGTTTGAGGGTAGCCCTGGGGCAAGAGAAGGATGGGTTCCTCCTCGAACTTTGCTCCAGCCTCAGCTCCCCATCCGCAGGCTTTCCTGACTTCCCGGACACGAGTGCCATGGAATAACAGTCACCGATTTCAGGATACCTTCCTCAAGCCGTACTCTTAAGAGACATTATCTCCCTTCACAATCTCCCCGCAAGGAACAGGCATGCCTTGGAATATGTCTCTGGTGTTATGGATGAAGAAACTGAAAGACGCCTGGCTGGCTCAGTTACTAACGCACGTGACTCTTGATCTTGGGGTTGTAAGTTCGAGCCCCACACTGGGAGCAGAGATTGCTTACAAATAAAATCTTTACAAAAATAGAAGAAAGAAAAAGAAACCGAGCCCCAGGGAGGTTCCGCTACTTGCCCAAGGTCAAGGTGAGCACAGTGAGTGCAGGCCAGGGCTCAGCCTGTACTCACTTGGTGGCTTTGGACAAGTCACAGGGCCTCTCCGGGCCTCAAGTCGTTATGTTTAAAATTGAGATAATAGGGGCACCTGGGTGGCTCAGTCAGTTAAACGTCTGACTCTTGATTTCGGCTCAGGTCATGATCCCAGGGTGGTGAGGTTGAGCTCTGCGTTGAGCCCCAAGTTGGGCTCCCAGTTGAGTCCCGCATCCGGCTCTGGCTCCACGCTGACAGTGCACAGCCTGCTTGGGATTCTCTCTCTCTCCCTCTCTCTCTGGCCCTCCCCTGCTTGCACTCTTGTGCATGCGCTCTCTTTCAACATAAATAATATAATAAAATGGGGACGGGGCACTTGAGTGGCTTAGTCGGTTAAGCGTCCGACTTCAGCTCAGTGATTCGTGAGTGATTCATGATCTCATGATCTCATGATTCATGAGTTCAAGCCCCATATCGGGCTCTGCACCGTCAGCACGGAGTCTGCCTGGGATTCTCTCTCTGCCTATCTCTGCCCACCCCCAACCCCCACTTGTTCTCTCTCTCTCTCTCTTTCTCTCAAAACTTAAAAAAAACCTGGAGATAACACCAGCCTCCTGCAGAGGGTTGGGGTAGGGATTGGGTGTGGTGGCACAGACCTAGCACTTGACCCTTTTTCAGTGATTGTTACTTTCTCTCTCTATCCTCTCCTGCCTCCTGTTGTCTACACTCTGAGACTTTCCTCTGTGTTCAGTGTTGCAAACCTTTTTTTAGCAGGAGAAATTGTTTTTCATCTCTGCAAAGCCTTGAAAGATGTGGTAGGCACTGGTTCTATAAAAGGGGAGAATGGTTGGGAGGAAAGAAAATGCTAGTGCCTAATGAGGGAGCCCCTGAGTCTGTTGACCAGAATTCTTGGGTCTCTTTGAGGGAGTGGTGAGCAGGGCATATTGCCATCCAGTCCCTGCAACCAACTCAGTTCCTCACGGCTTCCCAAGGGGCTTTCTGCCCGAGCCCAGCATGCCTGCTGAGTGCTGCACCTGACTTGGATGGTTTATGGTGCCTTGGTTTTGCTCAGGCCCCTGGCGACCCTGAGAAAGCCCTTAGTCCGTCCCCTTTGCCAAAATCCTTCCCTTTGTGCTTCAAAACTGGGCTCAAAATGTAAACGTCACTGGGGCGCCCGGGTGGCTCAGACGGCTGAGCGTCCGACTCTTGATTTCGGCTCAGGTCATGATCTTGCGGTTCGTGAGTTCAAGCCCCACGTGGGGGCTCGGTGCTGACAGCTCGGAGCCTGGAGCCTGCTTCGGATTCTGTGTCTCCTTCTCTCTCTGCCCCTCTGTCTTGGTCTCTGTCTCTCTCCCAAAAAATAAACATAAAAAAATAAAGTTGCACAGGCAACCAGTCTGTGTTTGAAAATAACAACAACTGTATTAGGAGGATTTGGGGAGGAGACACGGCAGTGAGTACAAATCCTCCCCTGTCAAACAGACGATCAAGAAATGGCTGTATAAGTATAATATTTCGAGGCAAATAACAGAAGATAAAACGCACGTAGTTAAAATACTTCAGATCTGAGAAGACATTTCTTTTATTTATTAAAAAATTTTTTTTCACGTTTATTTTTGAGAGACAGAGAGACAGTGTGAGCTGGGGAGGGGCAGAGAGAGAGGGAGACACAAAATCTGAAGCAGACTCCAGGCTCCGAGCTGTCAGCACAGAGCCCGACGCGGGGCTTGAACTCACAGCCCGCGAGATCATGACCTGAGCCGAAGCTGGCCGCTTAACTGGCTGAGCCACCCAGACGCCCCTGAACAGACATGTGTCCAAAGAAGGCATACAATGGCCAATAAGCACATGAAAACGATACTCGGTACAAAAATACAGGCATAAAGGTGGTCAACATCAGTAGTCATTGGGGAAACGCGAATCAAAACCACAAGCTACCACCTCACACCCGTGAGGGTGGCTATGACAAAAAGTAAATAAAATAAAACAGAAAACGCTAAGTGTTGGTGAGGAGGCGGAGAAATTGGAAGCCACGTGTGCTGCGGTGGGAATGTAAAATGGAATGGAAGCCATTCTGTTCCAAAATGGAAGCCATTGTGGAAAACAGCATGGCAGCTCCTCGAAGAGTTAAAAGCAATCACCCCATGATCTAGTGACGCCACTTCCGGGTTTGTGCCCAAAAGAAGTGCAGGTAGGAACCTGGACAGACATTTGTACACACAGGTTCATAGCAACATTCTTCACAATCGTCAAAAGGCAGAAACAACCCAAACGCCCATTGGCGGGTGGTTGAGTGGATAAACAACGTTGTGGTACGTCCATACAACGGAATGTTATTCAGGCCTCTAAAGGAGGGAAACTCTCACCCATGCTGCCTTGAGGACATTGTGCTGAGTAAAAGAAGCCAAACGCAGAAGAACAGACACTGACCTGAGGTACCTAAGGTGGTCAAAGTCCTCAGGAATTAGAACGGTAGTTGCCGGGGGCAGGGGATTGGGGGAGTGAGGAATTAGCGTTCAATGGGTACAGAGTTTTAGTTCGGGAAGATGGAAAAGTTCTGGAGATGGATGGTGGGGACGGTTGCACGACAGCATGGTTGTACCTAATGCCACTGGACCGTCCACTTCAAAATGGTAAACTGGTGTATTTTATTTATGTCGATTTTGCTACTAATAAAACAAAGTTCTCTTTGGAGCATGGGACTAGAAGGAGGGGTGGGACAGAGAACCGATGCTTATTTGCTCAAAAGCCTTTTTCTCATTTTATGTTCCTCAAACATCTTTCTAGGTTTTATTTTCAAGTAGTCTCTACACCCAACGTGGGGCTCGAACTTACAACCCCGAGATCAACATGCTCTACCAACTGAGCCAGCCAGGCGCCTCCTACATGTTTTATCTTTAATATATATATATATATTTTTTACTAGCAGGCCAAGGAAGGCTTCTTGATGAGTGCCATTGATCATGTCCAGGGACTAGCATGTCTGGTGAGGTTTTTCACTGGACGGCAGTGAGTGCAAAGGGGTTGCTCCGGCTCGTCGTCAGCGTCAGAGTCAGATCTGGGAAGAAATCCAGCTCTACTGCCTTTCTTCTCAATGACCTTGGACAAAATTTCTTTCCTCTGGGGGTAATTTTTCATCGCTCTCTGTTGTAAGCGCCTGCTTCCAAGGAGTATATGAAAGACGTCCCCTTTAAAGAATCTTCTTCGCAGCATGTCTGGTGAGGAAGGCAGTGCTCATGAAGGAGAGGTGGGAAGTCGAGAGGCTGGCGACGCCGGTGGAGATAAAGGGAGACGAGGGTGAGGAAGAGCGCTCATGAAAGACGAGGCGACGGTCCCCTGGGACACCATAATGCTGACACTCTGCCCATCAGACCTGGTAGCCAGCACCGAAGATAAACGAACAAGGCTGATAACAATGGTTCTAGGAGTGGCTGTGTCTGACATTCAAACTGAAAATGAAATTTGGGAACTTGTTCCAAACTGCTCTGAAGAGTAAACTTATTTTGGTCACAACTAATAGTTGATAGCGGACACAGGCAGAGATGACCTTAAAACATCCCCTGTTTTCTTGCCCACAGCTCAAAATTGGAAAAACCAAACAAGCCGCGATCCTCGCAGCCGCCAAAGGTTGTGAAAGCCTTGCTTTCGTAAAGAGTTTAGGGCGAAAATCTTTTTTGGGTGATGTAATTGTTAACTTTTCCTGGGTCAAAGTCAGGAGGAAGGTCAGCTGGGAAGTCTTGGGTAAAGACCCAGTGTTATCAGATCAAATCAAAGTTATCTTCCTTTACTCACTCATTGGCTCTGCAGACATTCATTGAGTCCTTTTTTGGTCCCAGGCACAGCCTTGGGTCCTCAGGCTGGACATATGAATGAGGCAGGACATCTGCCTTCAGAGAACTCACTGTCTAGCAAAGAACACTCACCCTGAGACAGACGCTGGCATGCGATGTGGCCAGTGCTGTGGGAGAGGGGGCACAGGGGACAGGCACCTACCCTGGGCATGTCGCAGAAGGTCTCCTAAGATATCCGAGCTGAGTCCTTGAAAAACGAGTGTGTGCTTGTTTCCTATTAGTGCTAGAATTAATTACACAAATGTAGTGGCTTCAGAACAACAGAACCATATTCTCTTACATTTCTGGAGGCCAGAAGTCTGAGGTGAGTCTTATGGGACTAAAATCAAGGTAATTGGGGGGCTGGTTCCATGATAGGGAAAGATAGGATTCAGGAGGCAGAGAGGGAAAGGGGAAAGATTAGGACCTGAGGTCCCTGTGTTGAGGGAGCCTAGGGACAAGCTGAAGGCAAAGTACAGGCTAACCTCAGTAATAAATGGCATTTTCCTAACACAGCTAGCCCCTCAAGGTCCTGGAAACCTTGCTTCCAAAATTCCTTAGAGACTTGAGCTGGCCCTGAGCCCCTCCCAATCTGAGGGTATATAATCAGTTACCTGTCACAACCCCAGTGCAACACAGGCCCCGTCCCTGTGCTTTAATAAAATCACCTTTTTGCGCCAAGACCTTTCCTAGAATTCTTTCTTGGCTATCGGCTCCAAACCCCACCATCACCCCGAAACCCCATCACCTGGGCTGGGGAAAAACACATATTTTGGAACAATGCCCGGAGTGTCTGACCACAGCAAACCCCCCTCGGGCATAAGGTTCCTCTTAAGGATGTAACACTTGGGGCGCTTGGGTGTAACACTTGGGCGCTCAGTTGGTTAAGCATCTGACTTCAGCTCAGGTCATGATCTCGCAGTTTGTGAGTTCGAGCCCCACGACAGGCTCTGTGCTGACAGCTCGGAGCCTGGAGCCTGCTTTGGATTCTGTGTCTCCCTCTCCCCCTCACATTCTGTCTCTTTCTCTCAAAAATAAATAAACATTA